GAAGAGGTGGGAGAATGAGAGACAAATATGTCCGTGTTAAAAGTCTCTTATGTACACAAAAAAACACAATATAAACACACTATCTTGGACCGATACATGACAGGATACCACAGAACAGCGCTACGCCCTCTGTTGTCCTGCCGGGCAATTGCTTTGCAACACTCTCCAGGAGACGGAGAAGTAAAAGAGAAAAATGCTTCCGTCAATCCGTGCATGTCTGTCCCTTGCGGAGATGACGGAGAAGCATAAACCAGGCTTTAGGAGCTTTGAAAGAAAAGCGTCTGGACTTCTTTGAGTTGCTTGAAGACGTTTCACCTCTCATCCGAGAGGCTTCTTCAGTTCTAAGGTCAAATGGTGGAGAGTCCCAGATTCAAACCCAGTGGGAGTTTCCCCCCGAAGAGGGAACAAAAGACCCCCTGATGATCTTCTACATAAACACATGAGCCAAGGTGTGAGGGTGGGTGTGGGTCCTATTCAGCCAGAGTTTTGGGTGAGCTCAATGTGAAGCCTGACCCCACCCTATCATGTGAATTCCTGAGGTCAGATGGCCCAGGATATGTGTGGGCGTTGAGGCATCTGGGAAGGGATCTCAAAACTGGATTATAGAAGGCAGACAGTTGGTGTCGTAAACCACCGCCTCTGTTCAAAGATGGTTGCTCACAGTGGACATAAATGTCTTCCTTTACTCCTCTTTCAAACCATCTGTCCTCTCTGTCCAAAATGTGAACGTTGGCATCCTTGAAAGAGTGACCTTTGTCCTTTAGATGCAAATGAACTGCTGAGTCATGTCCCGTGGAGGTGGCTCTTCTATGTTGTGCCATGCACTTGTGAAGTGGCTGTTTGGTTTCTCCGATGTAGAGGTCTGGGCATTCCTCGCTACACTGTACAGCATACACCACATTGTTCAGTTTGTGTTTGATATTTTTAATATTAACATGAATATTGAGCAATTGTTTAACATTTTTAATGGTTTGTTAATGCTTAACAATGCACTAATGACACCAATAAAGGGACACTTATTGTAAAGTGTTACCATCCAGCTTGGGGCCAGTTCACACAGGAGGATAAACATGCAGAATTTTGACCAGATCCTCTCCTTTTGGCACACCTATGGAGCCTAAGTTTCCTCCCTTTCTGGCTGGCTCATGGGTCCCCAGAAGAACGACAAAATGAATGCATGTCAATGGGGCTAAAAGAGCCATTTTCTAACCCGCCTCGCCTTATGCCCTGGATCACACATATGTTATACTTCTACTTAAATGAAAAGTAATAAAGTGTGTTTCGACTACACCAGTCAGGTACTTTGAGATGTATAAGCTTGTAAAAGTTCATAATTAGCTTGTGCATGGCAAGGGATAGGGAACAACACAAATTAAATCAGCATCAACTCACCATCCAACAACAATGCTAGACTGGCTGAAGATCTCAACAGCTTCTTTGGCCACCATGATGCAACAACTGCTGGAACCATGACTCCAGCTCCAACACCAACAAGCAACAGCCAGGTGCTCATCCTGCAGACAGCTGAGGTACAGCATAAACTCAGAGGTGTTAACACGTGAAAAGCAGCTGGTCCAGATGGCATTCTAGGAGGGGTGCAAAGTGACTACAGCGGCACTGGCTGAGGTCCTCACAGACATCTTCAACATGTCGCTATCCCAGTGTTCTGTCCCTACCAATCTAAAAACCTCCACAATAGTGCCAACACCCAAAAAGTACGTGATAACGAGCCACAATGACTACAGACCTGTAGCTTTATTACCTCTTATTATAAAGTGCATGGAGAGACTAGTGCTACAACACATCAAGGCTTTTCTCTTGCTGTTAGCATTTTTCAGATGGTCTTTCTGGATGCGCCATCTTCGGATGTTACACTCCGTAACGCCATATTTTCAGGCTGCCTGGCAGTTGTTAGTTGCTTCTGCTTAACTCCAGATTCCTCCCTGCCATTTTTCTTCTCTAGTTCAATGACCTCACCATGACCTCTGCTGTTGCAGTTGGGTACTGACCCCCAGACAAGTATGTGTGAATTAAAAAGATATGACATGTATATGTAAAGCTTAGTCGGCGATTGAAAGACAACCCCCCTGTTTGCATAATTGTTAATAATAAAAAAAAAAACTCGTCCTATATTCGGCTAAATAAGGTAGTTGGATTGCCATTGAACTAACAATTGTGCAGCCTGTTGAACTGTGACGTGTAGCAAATTAGAAAGCATAGTGACATGTTCCTCCTCCACCATTTTTGTTTATGCTGAAGTCACGTTTGATCTAGCAAGATTTACCGTTTGACAGGAGAATGTTTGAGTGTAAAATCCGTTTGTGTGTGGTTTGTGTCGTGTTGCTGGGCTGCAAAACACGTCTATATTTTAATTTGAGTTCCCATATTTGTTGTTGTTGTTGTACCATTTCATGCCAATCGTAAAGCACATTGAATTGTCCTGTATTTGAAATGTGCTATATAAATAAAGCTGCCTTGCCTTGCTTTCTACATAAAGCCACACCACTCCTGGCTGAGCAGCATATTTTATTTTTTTGCATTTTCATTCTTTTGCAGACGATTGATTATTAAGATCATTCCAGTGGAAAAAGAGAACATCCAGGTAAATAATTAAGTCCTGTCCATGTGAGGCTCCAGACACGGTTACACTGTTACAGGTTGTGACTCAGAGCTGTTTCACACATCAGTGTGTAGAGAAGGCAAGGCAAAGATAAAGAGAAAACAAAATCCTATCGATCAAGTCCGATCTCATTAGGACCAAACTCACAGCTGTTATGAAGACTGTGGTCATTACGTGTATCCATTTGTCAAGTCTGGAGGAGCATTTATGTTCATTAATGTTGACACTTATGTACACACTATCAGTATTTTGTGAGGGGCATTTTGCAAGTTTATTCTCTGCCTTTATCTCCATCATGCATGCCTAATGCGACTCAAGTGGGTGTTCAAACAAACAGAATCATCAGTCATCAATTTATTTTGGAGGCATTTGAGAAAGACTTGTCATGGTAATGGCATCGTTGAATTATTACATAATAAGCATCAGATGTTTAAACATGTAAGATATCAAAATTATAAATATCAGATGTCAACCTATTTTATAGTATGCCTCAATATTGCTAACTATGCTTAAATGTTTGTTTTATTTGACATATACCTATGTTTAGGGCAACATAATACAAGCAAAAACATCACAGCAGTGAGTTTTAAAACAAACACAAGCAAGTTGGAACAAAATGGTACATAAAAAACATGCATTTTGTTGCCCTGTCTTGTTACAATCAGTCTACCATAATTAAACTAATGAGTATTTCTTGCTATATTTTTTTGTTTTTGCCATGCTTGGTTCACATATAGAGAGCATATTCCTGTGCCTTTAGTCAATTAAGCCCCAACCAACAGTCTTTTTTTCTGGACACAACTTGAACACAGCCGTTTCCACGGTATCAAGAGTTGTGTGCGTGTTTATCTGTGCAGACAGACATAAAAGTAACACCAAACATTTTTAACACTTTGAGCCATTCATTTAATAGTGTGTTTCGGTGATTGTGTAGGTAGAAACCTGATCAACTTCACATTGGAAAGCACTCTGCAGCCCTCTGCTGACCAGAAACGACACTTAACAGTTTTGTGGAGTTGGTAGGGGCCCTAGGGGGAGGTCTCTACCCAGGGCCAGATTAACACTTTGTTGTACCCTGGGCAACAATATTAAAGGGCCCCATCATCACAACCCGAGGATCACCATAATGTGGTCACATACAGAATATTTTACTGTAATATGCAGTAAATATACTCAATACATGAATGCCTGACATCACGTAACCCGCTCAGGGTAACCTTTGACCCACCTCGTGTGGACTGACCAATGAGGAGAGGGCCTTAACATGTAAAACATAAAAAATATAAAAACTGAAAATGAAACAACTCTTCCTTCAATGGTCATTTAACCAATTATCATCTTTATTCATTTCAGGTTTTTGTGACAGTCTGGATGTTTTGTTTCACAGATTTCCTTGCACAATGCGAACATATACAACAAATTCACCTAATAAAGAGTTTGCTCAGGTTTATTAGCTTTTTTGAAATACTGCTTTTTCTGACAATACGAAGATGATTCTGTCTGGTGAGGGGAAACATAAAGTCTCAGACACACTCAAAGTAAAACAGTTGTGTTTTTCTCACAGACTTGGAGTTGCACAATTGACCACAATGATCTTAACTTACAGGATTGTGGGTTCACATTCTGTTTACATGTCCCTGTTCCTCACTGCACTGAACTTGTACTGTCTGTGCATCTTTTTGACTGACACTTATTGATACTGCACACACACACACACACACACACACACACACACACACACACACACACGCACGCACACACACACACACACACACGCACGCACACACACACACACACACACACACACACACACACACACACACACACGCACGCACGCACGCATGCACACACACACACACACACACACACACACACACACACACACACACACACACACACACACACACACGGCTGCAGTCTGAGGGTAGAGCAGACTTTCATGCATGGTTCGATGTGCATAAGAACACTACTTCAACCTGGATACATTATACAACAGGCAGCACTGTGTCAGTGGGTCACTGTGCCACACAGACACTTCACCATGCACACCCTCCTTGTTGGGCTTTTTATTACAGATATGTGAATGGGGCATTGTTGGGAACCTTCCTGCGGGTGTTTCTGAATACACATGCAGCTCTGAACTCTGAAGAGAATGAATCCAAGTGACTCTCTTGATTTCACCTCCTTTTTCCTACTCTTCCTTCACCCTCCCATCCAACCAGAGCCGTATCTGCATTTTTTAAGAGCAAACACACAAACTTGAAGAAGTGGCAGGGATCAACCACTCCCACCGTTCAAACACAGAGGGCGAGAGACACAACAAGGAAGAGAAGAGAGGGATTATGGGAGGAGCGTAGCAGAGCTGAAGCCGAGCCCTTCAATGCCCGAGCATGCAGAGTGGAGCAGACGCCGACAAACACACACGCACACTTTCAGTTACATGCACAGTCACACACACACATACCATACACACTACCACCACTACGCTCACACATGCACACTCACACACGGTGACTGCTGCCAGGCTCAGTGGGAAGCAAGCCGTCAGGGAGAGAGCTTGAGAAGAAAGAGGGAACGCTGAAGGGAAGAGAACAGAGCAGAGTTGGAGGGGCACCTTGTGGATCAGTAAGGATTTTCCTCTCTAAGAGTACGTCTGGATAAGGCTATCTTCTCCTTCCTCGGCAAGCGGAGTTTAAACTGAGGCTTGTTTTATTTATTTTTTCTTTTTGCTCATCCTCCACGCCAGACTCCAACGATATCTACCTATCTATCCCCGGAGCTTAACAAAAGAGGGAAGGAGGGAGGGAGAAGGAAAGAAAAAAAAACAGTCAGCTTCAGCTCCAGACCACCCTCTCTCCTCCTCCTCCTCCTCCTCCTCCCCCTCCTCCTCCTCCTTCTCCTCCCATTCTCTCTCCAGCTCCACATCCATGTGTGAGTTCATTGCTGAATTCCCTGTCTTTGGAGGATAGTACAGAGGACAGCGTGTGTTCTTCAGGAGACAGCTGGACTCCCACTGGGATCGAGGTCTGGTCTGGTTTTAGAGTGGAGCCGGTATACACAGACAGAGCGAGAGAGACGCTGGCAAGCAAACCGAGGGGCATGTTAAGGGCATCAGAAAAGAAGTCTGAATTCTAGAGAGAAGAGTGGAAAGAACCGGCAACCATTCACTCTCCATCCTCCTCCTCTTCCCTCTCCTCTCAACCCCTCTCTTGGTCCTGCTTGATCCCCTTTTATTGTTTCCCGCACTGCTGCTATCTACCCATTTTTCCTCTGCTCACCTCTCACCTCCGTCTCCCCAACCTCTCTTCTGTTGCTCTGGCATCTCTTTCCAAACCTGCTGGGAGACAGCTTTATGGACGTTCCTTGCAGGCTCCAAGACAAGAAGACAGACTGATTTCCAATGCACTATCCATCCTGCTATCCGTCCTCTCTCCCGTCCACTTAACACTCGCATCAGTGACAAGGAGAGTGTTCCCTTGAATGCTCTTGGAAGCTGTGAGCTTCTATCTTCAGCCTTCAGGACCTTTCAGTTGGATTCTAGCTACATGGGAAAACGTTTGGAGCAGCAACCAATGTACCCCCACTACACCTACTACTACCCCCACTATCTCCAGACGAAGGTAGGATGATCAGCAGGGTCGACCTATTTTAACCCTCTGCTTGAGGTATTGCCCAATCACATCTGACTTTAGTTTGTTTTTAATCCTGTAAACGTCTCAAACTCAGCTACGCATCTTCGAATCCTGACTCAAATCAGATCAAAAGTTTTCCAGACATTGAAGGGTTTAAGTCTTACTGTGCAAATCCCACTTTTTTTTATGTTTTCTAAAATTTGAGCTTTCAAAAAAATAAATGAAAAGAACATGCTGATCCACCTTTGTCACCAAAAGACCAAAATTCACCACTTTAGGTCCTGTGACCATGCCCGCTGTCTTCTAACGAAGAAAGATTGATGTTTCTCGGCTGGATCTTTCTTCCTTCTCCATCTTTCTGGGTTTGTGACCCTGCCCACCCCTCTCTGACCCCACCAGCTGGAAGTTCAAGTTCAGGGCAGGGGGCCCACAGTCCTTTATCGTGCCTCTGCTTGGTCCCTTTCCCATGCCCCCCCCCCCCCCCCCCCCAGCACATATGATGGCATGCTGGTAGAAGCTCATATTCCTCTCATCTTAAATAAAATGCAGACATGTGAGCTGAGGTGGGATTTTCTTTAAGGTCCATCCAAGTCCTCACACACACTCACACTCATACATACACACATGCACACACACAATGCATACTGATAAATTCATTTCACAAAGACTCACACACTGACACACTCTGACTCTTCCACCACCAAGAGGCAGAAAATGGATTACGAAGGCTTGATCGATTGCTCCTGCATCGTATCAACCACCGTCTCTTTTGTCTCTTGTGATTCATCTGCTTTTCTTTCTTTCTTTTTTGTTTTCATTTTTCTTTTTCCTCATACTTGAGCGCAAATGTGAGGATTTGGCAGTTTTGCTACAATATTTAGTCAATGTGCATGTGTCACTGGGCTAGAGAGAGGAAGAGAGAAGACAGTGTAGGAGTCGGATGCTGTGAGAATAGACAGATTGTGCTGTTGAAGGGATACAGAGTAGGAAAAGCAGGTAAGACGATTGTTGTTTGACTTAAATAAATGGAACTGTGAACCAAACAGTTTTAGACCAAACTAACATACGCAGAGATGGGCCTATTGCTTTTAGCAGAACATACTGTTTTATGTTGTGTGTCTTTTTTGTAAATAACACACATCTTATTTTGTTAATTGCATCCTTTATAGATAGATAGATAGATAGATAGATAGATAGATAGATAGATAGATAGATAGATAGATAGATAGATAGATAGATAGATAGATAGATAGATAGATAGATAGATAGATAGATATCCTTTATTGTCATTAAATGATTGTCCATTCAACGAAATTTCCTAGAGCTCCACATTAGGCATCCGCTAAAAATACTAAGAAAAATAGCTAAAACAAGTACAATATGCACCATGCAATAAAAACAAAAACATTAGAAAATACAATAAATAATATCAATAGAGTTGATTTTTCTGTCCATTCAGGGTTCTAACAGCCCAGGGAAAAAAACTCTTCCTCAGTCTGTCGGTCCTGCAGCTGAGGGATCTGAACCTTTTCCCAGAGGGCAGCATGGCAAAAAGGTAGTGGTTTGGGTGGTAAATGTCCCTGGAGATGGTCCTTGCTCTAGTGAGACACCTCTGCAGGGCGATAGTGTCCAAGGAGGGAAGGGTGCATCCAATCACCTTTTCCGCCGCTCTAATGACCCTCTGGTATCTGTTTTTATCAGCTACTGTGCACCCCGCGTACCACACAGGGATAGCGTAAGTCATCACGCTCTCAATGACTGCTCGATAAAAAGACACCAAGAGGTTGGTCTGCAGCCTGTTCCACTTCAGGACCCTCAGGAAGTGCAGCCGCTGTTGTGCTTTTTTGACCAAGGCAGTGGTATTGATTGTCCATGACAGATCCTCAGAGATGTAAATCCCGAGAAACTTAAAGGAGGGAACTCTCTCCACCTCAGCTCCTTTAATGCAGATAGGGCGGGGGGCATCCTTACTCCTTCAGAAGTCAATAACCATCTCCTTGGTCTTCTTGATGTTAAGAGAGAGGTTATGATCATCACACCATTCTGATAAATGGCAAACCTCATCTCTGTATGCTGCGTCATCGTTGTTATGGATAAGACCTATAAGAGTGGTGTCATCTGCAAACTTAATGATCTTATTAGAGTGATGAATAGGAATGCAGTCATGGGTGTAGATGGTGAACAGCAGGGGGCTTAGCACACAGCCCTGAGGGGAACCAGTGCTGAGCATCAGAGTGGATGACCGCTTGTCACCAAACCTGACAGCCTGTGGGCAATTGGTGAGGAAATCTTTGATCCAGCCACAGGTGGTGGGGGGGAGGTTCAGATAAATCAACTTGGCTACAAGGATGTTCGGGATTATGGTATTAAAAGCAGAGCTAAAATCAATAAAAAGCATTCTAACGGAGGTGCCGGGGTTCTCCAGATGTTGCAAAGAGGAGTGGAGAGCAATAGATATGGCATCCTCAGTAGACCTGTTTGCTTTATATGCAAACTGGCAGGGATTCATGCTGGGTGGGAGGAAGTCCTTGATATGTTTTTGCACCAGCTTCTCAAAGCACTTGGTCACCACCGGTGTGAGTGCTATGGGTCTGTAATCATTGAGACTGTTGATTGTAGTAGACTTGGGGAGTGGGACTATTGTTGTTGATTTCAAACAATATGGAGCCGTAGCTTCAGACAAGGAGCGATTGAATAATTTGGTAAATACCATGGACAACTGTTCTGCGCAGTTCTTCAGCACCTAGCCAGGAATACCATCTGGACCAGCCGCTTTCCTCTGATGAGCAGCCCTGAACACGGTGCGAACCTGTTGTTCTTGAAGTGTGAGTATTTGTGTATCTGAACCAAACTCAGCGGGTGATGTTATAGGAGTGGGTTAGTTGTGGGGAAGCTGGTATTCTCAAAACGAGCAAAGAAATAGTTGAGTTCTTCGGCTAGTGAAGCTCCTATTTCAGTGCTAGATCTGCTGTCCTTGTATTTGGTAATATGTCTCAGTCCTTCCCAGACCCTCCTTGGGTTGCTGGCAGACAGATGTTGCGACAGCTTTTTGGTGTAGCTCACTTTAGCCTCCTTGATTCCCTTTTTAAGATCAGTCCTTGCCCGCCAGTACTTGGCCTGGTCTCCCGACACGTATGCAGCATTACATGCCTTTAACAGTATCCTGACCTTACTTGTCATCCAGGGTTTACAGTTAGGGTAGATCCGAACTTGCTTGTGAATGATAACAGTGTCCATGCAATGTTTGATATAGCAGAGCACAGCATCTGTGTAAATTTGGAGATCCTCATTTTCAAAAATGCGCCATTCTGTATGAGCAAAACAGTCCTGCAGTTGAGCCATGGCTTCATCTGTAAGAGTATTAATGGTTTTAATAATTGGCCTTGTTCTTTTTTCAGTGGTATGTATGCAGGTAGGAGGAGCAGAGAGAGATGGTCTGACTTTCCAAGTGGGGGAGAGAGACGGATTTATAAGCCTGTTTAATATTTGTGTAAACATGATCCAAGATGTTGTTTCCTCTCGTGGGGCATTTCACATGTTGGACAAATTTAGGCAGCACCGTTCTCAAGCACACTTTGTTGACTTAATGCAGATAGTTTAGAAATGTTAATAAATATTAACAGAAATTTGACTCTATAGATTTCACTCATTTACAGAAATGCATTTTAATTTGAAACAGCTTAAATGCAACCAAGAAGATTAAAACACCACAAAATTATGACTTTTCTGGTTTAAATCTGAATTTTACTGTAGATTCAGAAACAGCTTTATTTAATCCGCAATGTTTTCTTTAATTTTTTTAATACACTTTCCATCGTTAGCTTTTTGAATGACAAATGACCTGCAGTTGTTTAGCGCCGTCAGAATCAGAGAATTCCAAAGCACTTAACACTACAGTACATGATTCATCCATTCACACACTGGTGATGAGGTACGATGCAGCCACAGCTGCCCTGGGACTCACTCGCAGAGGCAAAGCCTCTGAGCACCGGTGCCACCGGTCCTTCTGACCACCACCAGCAGGCAGGGAGAGTTGGCTGTCTTGTCCAAGGACACCACAGCAGGATTCTTTGCAGGGAGCCAGGAAACGAGCCTGCAACCTTTCGATTACTGGACAGCCTGCACTCCCTTCTGAGGCACTGCTGCCCTTTTAAATCCACAGTGACAAGTTATGAATGATATGACTTTAGGACAATTACTGCAACAATAAAGCCTGCTAATGATTAGGCAAATTGTCTTCCTTTATTCAAATCAAACTGAAAAAGAAATGTTAAAATTGCTATTTAACATAATTATCTTTATTGAACTGAACAACTCTGATGCAGGTTTAAAAATATTTTATTTATTTGATAAATACAAATTTTTGGGCTACAGTTGAGAAAATAAATGAAATGTTCCAAAGTGAACCACGGGACACAGTCACCAGTCACTTTTGGATTATTTTGCATTTCAGGTGCATCAGCATTATCCTTCTCAGCAGCTCATCCCAGAATGTGCTCCTGATCTAGAAAAATGAAGCTATAATTTTTCTAACTAATGCTATTGTTAATGATAAGTGTGAAGCTCTTTTGGTTGATTATCTGTTAAAGGAAAACTATAACTGGATAGAAAAAAATTGAAAAGACACCTTGTTTTATGTGTACAGATGTCTCTATCCCACACGGCTGTCCTGTTCCATGATTTATCTCTATCAGTTCAAGGTCATCTAATTTATCACAAGTATCTGCAACAGGCATCTGGCCCAGACCATCACTTCATTTCTTACACCCCATCCATCCCTCAATCTCCACCTCATCCCACCATCCCTCTCTCTGCTGTCAAGGTCAAATCTAATTGGATCCTTCCAGCTCTCAGTGTCGGTGGCCACAGCTCTGTGAGTGTGAGTGTTTGGGAATACATCTGCACATCGATAAAACTTGTGTCTGATGAATTTGCAGCCATGACTGTACATGAAATGGCAACTTAAAATTCACGAGTAACACTGAATT